TGTTGACAACCCCTCTCTCTTGCCAGAGCAACCAGGCAAGCCCCCCCCCCTTGATCAGCAGATATCGCCTACTCTCCTCTATACTGCTTGCACTAGAGTAGTGTAGCATGTTACTGCTTTCCGTTAATCCTATCCTGATGCATAGCCTGTCATTGTTGCTACAACTGTTGATACCTTACCTGCAATCCTAAATGCTTAGTATAGGATGCTAGTTTATCATCAGTGGCCATACATTCTTGTTCGTCTGCCATGCTATACTCTCGGGCCGTGATCACTCGGGAGTTGATCACGGGTATATACCTACACTTTATACATGATACATGTGATGACTAAAGTTGGGTTGGCTCGAGGAGTACCCGCGAGTGATTCACGGATTGGGGGCTGAAAGGACCTTTGTCCCGACGGCCCTCTGGGTGGATCTTTGTGGCGGAGCGACAGGGCAGGTTGAGACCACCTAGGAGAGAGGTGGGCCTGGCCCTGGTCGGCGTTCTCGGTGTCTTCAAGATAACACGTTTAACGAGATCTTGGTATTTGATCTGAGTCTGGCTACTGGCCTATACGCACTAACCATCTACGCGGGGACAATTATGGGCACTCGACGTCGTGGTATCAGCCGAAGCCTTCGTGACGTCAGCAACTGAGTGGCGCGCGCCGGATTGGACTGGAACGCCTGCTAGGCTAGGTCTGCTTCCGGCCGCATTCGTAACATGCAGGTGTGCAAAGGGCGATGGGCGCCATAGGATTTAGACCGGCGTGCTGACCTCTCTGTTGTGCCTAGGTAGGGTTGCGACGTGTTGATCTTCCGAGGCCGGGCATGACCCAAGAAAGTGTGTCCGACCAAATGGGATCGAGCGTGTTGGGTTATGTGGTGCACCCCTGCAGGGAAGTTAATCTATTCGAATAGCCATTTCCCTCGGTAAAAGGACGACCCGGAGTTGTACCTTGACGTTATGACAACTAGAACCGGATACTTAATAAAACAGACCCTTCCAAGTGCCAGATACAACCGGTGGTCGCTCTCTCACAGGGCGACGAGGGGAGGATCGTCGGTTAGGATTATGCTATGCGATGCTACTTGGTGAACTTATCATCTACTATCTTCTCCTGCTGCAAGATGGAGGTGGCCAGAAGCGTAGTCCTCGATAGGACTATCCCCCTCTTATTCCGGCTTTCTGCAGTCCAGTCCACATATGATACCCTTATTCCATTTGATACCAATGCATACGTATTTAGTGTAGCTCCTTTCTTGCGAGTACTTTGGATGAGTACTGACGGTTGCTTTGCTCCCCCTTTTCCCCCTTTCTATACTCAAATGCTGCGACCAGACGATGGAGCCCAGGAGCCAGACACCACCGTTGACGACGACTACTACTACTCGGGAGGTGCCTACTACTATGTGCAGCCCGCTGTCGACGATCAGGAGTAGTTTAGGAGGAACCCAGGCAGGAGGCCTGTGCCTCTTTCGATCTGTATCCCAGTTTGTGCTAGCCTTCTTAAGGTAAACTTGTTTAACTTATGTCTGTACTCAGATATTGTTGCTTCCGCTGACTCGTCTATGATCGAGCTCTTGTATTCGAGCCCTCGAGGCCCTGGCTTGTAATATGATGCTTGTATGACTTATTTTATTTATAGAGTTGTGTTGTGATATCTTCCCGTGAGTCCCTGATCTTGATCATACACGTTTGCGTGTATGACTAGTGTACGATTGAATCGGGGGCGTCACAATCCAAAAATAGGATATTACATGCTATCTAACCATTGAAGCATACCATCCTTGATATAGGCTTAGCCCTGATCATTGTATCTCTAAAATATCCAATGAAGTTTCTTCTGCAATTTACTAATGAGCATCTGATGCCTTCGAAAATTGCATCATTTCTTTGAATCCAGATGGCCCATCATCCTGTGATGATAATTTCCATGAAAAAAAATCCCATTTGTATCTCTGTTTTGCATCCATAATCATCATGTTGGATTACGCTATTGGATTTGGATTAGATTGTGATAATATCAGATTTTGGATTATATGGGGATCAACTTTGGTGAATGAAGAATTGAAGATTTGACCGATAGGGTGACCGGTAGAAGGATAACCCTAATTTGCTATTATTGTGGTTCTACCAACCGCTTATGAAAATGCTTCTACAAAACTACTATATGTACCTAGTAGGTTAAATTTGGTTTTTCATAAATGATGAGACCTAGCATAACAACCCCCTTTCATGTACTAAGCCATGCATTAATATCTATTACACCTCCTTATGGGTTGCTTGTGAGTACATTGTTGTCCCTCACTATTAACTTGGTCAGGCATGGAGGAGTAGTATGTGGATGAGGGGTTTGACGATGACCTGGCGAACTAGGATGCAATCCTAGTCGATTGCATGTGGCGTCCTGATGGGTCTACTCGATGCATTTAAAGATTCCGCTGCAATGTTTGGAGTGGTGACCATCACCTCAACCAAATGGTCATAACTATGTAAGTATAAGTTCAATGTTTATGGATGTTCTTTTGTTACCAGTTCGACTGTGCAAATTGACACACTGGTCATGAGATCGTTGTAGGATGCACGAGGAAGCTTCAGTTAGCTAGACCGGGGTCCCCACATAACCACTTTTACTTAGCTCATTAAAGGTAAGGAGTTAAAGTTCGAGACAACATTTGAGAGGCTACATTTGAAGGATTCGACTAGAGATGCTCTTAGCCTATGTCGACAAGCTCATACCACCAGAAAGAAGCGTGATGAGTTGTTGAGATCCGTATTAATCAATGTGTCGGTTCATTAAAAAGAAAAAGAAAAACAGTAACTGAAAGCTCTCGGATAACTCACGGTGATGATTGTCCAGACGTGGAACAAGATGATGACTAATTTAGATTGTCGTCTAAGTATAAGGGCATCTTCAATGCTATAAATCAAAACGTCTATAACCCTCGGATTGTGCAATCAAGACACTTTGCACTCTCCAACACCGTCCATCGAACATCTATGCGCAGGTCCATACGTCGGAATTTTCGCAAACGTAGACGTACGATCTGCATGTCTAGTGGATTAAGCTGGTACTCGTCTGTGCTTTAGGGTGTGTTTGGTAGCATTCCCAACCTAGCGTGGTTGTTTTCCTTTGATACATGCTCAGTGTAGACATACTGAGTGCATGCATTTGCTGTTATTTGGTAGCGGTGTATGTGCTGACACATGCTAAGCCGAAACTCTGTTTGGTAGCTTGCATGTGTTTAGACATGTCAGTCGGTACTGTAGCAACCGATATTTTCAAATAAGTGAACAAAACATTTCAAAAATGTGAGCAATTTTTGAAACATGAAAAAATAACATTTTTTAAAATGTAAACATATTTTGAAATTCTAAAGTGTTTCAAAAATTTAAACAAATTTTGAAAGTTTGATCTTTTTTGAAATTTAACCAAATTTGAAATCTAAACCTTTTTTGGAAAATCAAATTTTTTCAAAAGTGCAAACTTTTTTCAACAAAAAATTAAACAAAATTTAAAATTCTGAATATTTTTAAAAAATCTTAGCAAAATTTGAAAAGCTGAACATTTTTTGAAAATTTCGAAAATCTGGGCATTTTTTGAAAATTTGAGCAATTTTTGGTATTTTGGAAATTAAATTATTTTTTAGAAATTCAGAACATTTTTTGAAACACGTTGTCGCTCGCTTCGCTCATGCATGCTGACCAGTGGATGGCTCTGGGGATGTTCTCTCTTCGTATATGCTAAAAAGGTTTTTGGGCTGAGCTCGTGCATACTAAGGAGGCCCCTGCAGACTACCAAACACCTAAAAATGGATTGAGGAAGGAACTTTTAGCTAATACACCCCTCATGCACTCTACAAAACACACCCAACAATGAAGGCAGAAACTAGGACGATGTATGAAATGTCCGTAAGGCGAACCAACCTCTAATTGAGATGGTTAGATGGATAGTGGTATCCCCAACCCAGGGAAAAAATCTGGTGCACCGGTGCTTGTGGTGCTACCGGTGCACCGAACTTAAGTTGCACATTTTAAATGCATGAAAAATTCTGAAAAAAATGTAGCACATTCACACAACATTAACGTAGATTGTCATAAAATTTCAAGTAAATATTCGAAGCATAGCTCCTAAAACAAAAATGATAAATTCAACATTGAATAGTACATAACATAAATTGGGCTTCAGATTTGGCCCGTTATCACACTGATGTCAATTTTGTCATTTTTGTATCTCAAAAAATATTTCATATTTTGATACGAAATTTTGTGGAGATATACATTGTTGTTGTGTCAATGTGCTAGATATTTTTCAGATTTTTTGAAATGTTGCACGGTATCCGGTGCACCGGTAGCACCACAAGTGTGGGTACACCGGATACGTTCCCCCCAACCCACCAGGGTTCAAATCCTGGTGCTCGCATTTATCCTGGATTTATTTCAGGAATTTCAGCGATACGCTTTCAGTGGGAGAAGACGTTCTCGTCGACTACGAGGCGCTACGGTGACTTCGTAAAATCTCAAGATGATATGCCGGCTCATTCTCTCGGAGGTGCTCATAGGGATAGGGTGTGCGTGTGTGCGTTCATAGAGGTGAGTGTATGCGCGTGTATATGAGCGCTTATGTCTATACTGATGCTCAAAAAAAAATGTGCGTAAGTCCTAGGACAATGCTCGGTCATTCCAACTTGGTATTTCATTTCTGCTTTCCGTTCACTTCCAGAAATAACATCTATGATTTCGTTAATGAAATCAGGGAACAAACTATCTCTTTCCTAAAAAAGCGAGGTCGTGACCAGAGGACAGAGCGGGAGCTCTAGAAACAAATCCAGAGCGTGACGAGGTGGCACCCTTGTCAGAGACACCTCCCGGCGCACTGCGGGGCCCACGCGCCAGCCGCCGCGTTCAAAACCTCGCGTCGCCCTCCGCATTTTCAAAAATCAAAACCCTCGCCGATCCCTCGCCTGCCTCCCATCGCGGCCCCTCAATCCACTGCTAGGGTTTCGGTCCACCATGGCGAGGGTCAGCCGGACGACGCCCAACGCCGCGGCATCGTCGCGGACCAAGGAGGCGGCGGCGCCCAAGTCGCGGACCAAGAAGACCCCTGCCGCGCCCCGGTCGCGGACGAAGAAGACCCCCCCAGCCGCCAGGCCGCCCTCTCCGGCGCCTGCGCCGGCGAATCAGACGGTACCTGCGCCGGCGACGGCGAATCAGATGGCACCTGCGCCGGACGTTGAGGTGATCGAAATCTTCGATTTCCCCACCGCATCGTTGAGCTCCGGGAAGAGGAGGGATCGGAAGAGGGCGGGGGCGACCGCCTCCTCGCCGCTCGACGTCGACGAGATCGAGATGTGGACGCCGCGGCAGAAGCGCCGATTCGACGAGGACTGCCTCATCCTCTCCGCCGACCCCCTGGCCGCCAACAAGGCCCGACCCGTCGTCGTCCCCGCCGCCGCCGACGACGAAGACTTGGCGGTTGTCGCCGAGCGCGGCCCGGTACGAACGCCACCACTCACGGAATTTTTCATTCCCCTCTCAGATTGTTCCTTCCCCAAATGAGCCCGCGATCGGCGCGATTTCGATTTGGATGTGTCTGCAGGTGGCCTGCAGAGATTTTCCGCACGCGAGGTACCTCTGCGTCAAGTTCCCCTTCGCCACCACCCCTCACGAGAAGCACTGCGAGCAGGTATCTTCGATTGACAGAATATCCGAATTACGATTATCTAAAATTCCGAAATGTCGCTAGTGCCATAATACAACTACAATCTCGGTTTTCTATGCCAAAAATGTCACTCCGGTCAAGTGTCAATTTTTCTCACTGGGAGACCATGGCTTCGGCCCCAACCGCTGCATCGCGCGCCCGCGTTCGCTCCTCCCTGCTGCTTCCCTGTCCCTTAGTTCCCCTCTCCGCAGACCGTGTAGCGCCCTTGTCCTGGCTAGGCCCCGTGATGTCGACGTCGACCGCCGGCCCGTCCTGCTCTGCTAACCACGCTGCCGGAACCCTGCTCTGCCGACCGCGTCCCTGTTTAAGCTTGCTCCCTCGACGCCGACTTCAACCGGCCGGCTGCGCGTGTCCAGGTGCTGCCCGTCTCCCTGTCTCTTTCCCGGGGTCTTCTCTCTATGTGGCGGTTGTGCAGCTGCGTAGCAGGATCAGCACTGTGTCTGGAGCAGAGGCTCCCGTGGCTCTGTCTCTCCCTTAGGTGATTTTTTTCTCTCAACTTCATCACACAATGCCAGTCATTTCAAGGCTCAAAGTGCAAATGATACGGCAATTCATCATTTGTAACCCCAAATTTCAAGCGAGTAGTGTACAATATAGTAATCCATCGCTGTACTCAACTGCAGCACACAATGCTAGTCATTTCAAAGCTCAAAGTGCAAATGATACGGCAATTCATCATTCATGACTGCAAAATTTCAAGCAAGTAGTGTATATATAGTAATCCATCGCTGTACTCAATTATTGTCTTGCTAATTCACAAGGTCACATGCTAAGCTCGCCGGCCCGCTAAATTCCGGCGGATTTACAGTTCGCGTGAAAAAACAGGCCCGGATAGATACCGTAAAAACGGCCCGGCCATAAACCGCCCCCGATTCCCGCATATATATCGGAGCGACTGCGTTTTAGGGTTCACATCCGGCATTTCCCATATCCCCTGTGTCGCAAATTGTCTTCTCCAGCTAGAAATCCTCCTTCCTCCGGCCGCTGTTTGCCGCACGCGTAGGCAGCCAAAGCTTGCCCCGATGTCGAGCGTTGGTCGTGGGAGGGGTGACCAAGGGGGCTGCGGCGGCTCGCCGCCGCTGAAGCGCCGCCATGACGGCGAGGCGGGGAGCTCCTCCCGCAGCGGTGGCCGGCGGGCCTAGAGCAAGTTCGACCGCCTCGGCAAGATCTTCTGGCCCGCGCTCAAGCGACTCCAGGAGGCGGAGCGCACATGGTACGGGGCGAAGGAGGCAGCCGTGCTCAAGTGACTCCACAAGGCGGAGCGCATGTGGTATGAGGTGAGGAGGCGGCCACCGCCGGAGAAGAAGGTGCCATGGCGCGGGTGGCGGTGGCGAAGTAGGAGTACGATCTGGCGTTCGTCCTCTCCAACTCGCTGATGGAGTACCATCTCCAGGTCAAGAAGCCTGTTGATGATGATGAGTAGATTTAGGTTTTTATTATGTTTTAAGCTAGTATGAACTCTGTGGTGAACTTCAGAGATGTATGTGGCGCGAACTAGTAGTTTACATTATGCGGTATGTGTTTATCGGATCTGATCTTTCATTACGTCCGCGGTACCGCGAATTCGGTTTACAGTACCCCGTAAACGAAATTTGCGGTACCGCGGTTTGCGGGATCTGCTAGAGATGCTCTTAGCCTCAGTTTGATACTAGTGTTATTTTGGCATGAAACTACTGAACTGAGTGGCATTTTGGTACTTTGGTTTTCACTAGTGGTATTCTGGAACTTTCAGTTTTGACTAGCGCTATTTTTGCTATTCTCTCTTTTCAATTGTCCCATTCTGTCGGGTACCACTTAATCACACTGACAAGCCTACATTTGAAGCCTGAAAATGGTCATGTTTGCATGCTAGATTATCACTCATCTTGTTTCTTCTGTGCTGCAGTGCTACTGCTTTGTGTGCGACGTTGCTGCTCCGTGCGCAACTTGGAGAGGACATGCCATGTATGGGCATTGCCATGCTTCAGACCAGGACAAGATTTGGAAAACCATGAGAGGAGCGAAGAAGGCGAACCCGTGCAAGACCTACTGATCGTCCACCATGCTTTAATCATCAATCAACTTGTCCGGGCCGTATGGTTACTTTGCAGAATTACCTGTATAGAGTTGGATTAGGAAAGAACATGATATAAAGAACTTGGCGCGTGAGCTCGGAATGTATTGCAAACAAACTAGCAGCCGATACATATGGCATATATTAATATCAGTGCAATCAGCTTAATGTTCCATCCAATTTTAACATGCTACTTGTTCTTGTCTTGCTGTTCACTTACAGCTAGCTCTTCTACTAATTTACCCCCTTGAGATCAGCAGATGCATGCAAATTTACATGTTCAGGTTCTGTTTGACATAAATTGCATACTGTCTTTGTATGCCTCCGATTCCACATGAGGCTCATTCTTGCTTGATGTTCCATTTGGGATTCTGCAGCTTGTTTTTTCTGTCAACAAGTACGCCCTCTCCTTCCCTTTTATGTCCATGCGATAAGTAGTATTTCTCTGTTTGGGAGCTCTCCTGCTTGCTGGTTGAGAACTAGGAAGGAGGAGATGATCAAGCTCGAGAAATGGAAGAAGTCAGAGCAATTGAAGCAGAAAAGCAACAGTATTGCTAGGGGGGCTGAGACCAGGGCTCATCTTTCTTCATTCCTGTGTCACTTTGAGCTCCTCAGAAGAAACAGAATGAGACACCATTTAGAAAAAGTAGACAGGGGTAGCAAGGGAATGTTGGTTCACCCTGTTCATTTAGTCATGCTTGACTAATAAGATCCCTATCAAAGATACGACGGTCTGCAAGATGAGGGCCGCTCCCTAGCCTGCAGTGTCCCTCAGTCCCACACGTTGAAGCTCAATACACCTTGCGCGAAGGCTGTATGCGACTTGCTCCACCTTTCTTCGGTCCTTTGGTCTCGCCAGAAATTTCCATACCTGTAAAAGAGGATCGCCATTTTATACATCAAGTTAGCCAGGTGACGAAACAACTTTCCTTCTATAATAGCTTTATTGTGTGTAGTGCATAAAGTCCAAGCCAACGCGGTGAACTTCACCCAAGCCAACCTACGGTTTTGGACACACATTTCTTTGATAAACCAGTCTAAGTCCGGAAAAGCACTAGCATTTCATCTACACCTTGTGGCCTCGTGAAGCACACTCCACGCAAATCTCGTCACAATACACCGAATAATGATATGGTCGTTTCGTCTTGCCCGCACCAAACATATTTGCCATCCCCTGGCCCATGTCGTTTCCTAACTTGATCCCCACCTGGGATCCTATTCCTCGCCACTTGCCATTTTTTTTTCTATTTTAGACGGTTTACATCACATGGTGTTATCGTGTCAAAAATCTCCCGATATAAGGACACCGTAGAGAAATTGCTTATTAATCGATACCCTAAGTGACCACGTCTCTCCCAGAGCTGACCCTATGGCCGGCAGTATCTCGGCAGACCCTCCCACTCATGTGTTTCTTGGGCTCCAGGTGATCTATGAAATCGGGGAACCGAACAGTTACTCGCCCACACATCCTCCACCAGCCTCGGGGTTGTCCGAGATGGCAAACATCTTAGGATATGTCTTGTTAAGCGAAAGTGCCTTTCTGCTCCCGAGCTCATTTGAGCTCGGTGAACAGTAAAATCGAAAAAAAATCAAAAAAAAATCAAAAAATTCCAAAAAAATTCTCAGAGAAACATGGACAAAAGTTCTAAATGCTTGCAAAAATTCATCATGAAATCACATTCATGTAAGGCGTGGCAAAAAAAACAAATTCAGCCTCCAAAATGCTTTTGAAAGTAGCATTTTCAGAGTACCGATTTTGTTTTTTTTGCCACGCCTTCTAGAAATGTGATTTCATGACGAATTTTTGCAAGCACTTAAAACCTTTGTCAATGTTTCTACCCAAAAAAATCTGGAACTTTTTGAATTTTTTTTGAATTTTTTTCGATTTTACTGTTCACCCGAGCTCATATGAGCTCGGGTGCAGAAACTTCACGTCCCTTGTTAAGAGCCTTCTCACCACACCATTTATTCAGCCAAAAGAGGGTCACTCTACCGTTCTTCACCTAAAATCTAGTACCCAATTGCAACAAAGGTTGAACTTTTCCCACACACTTGGCAAATTGGGAAAATTTGGTATTCGGACGGAAATCCGTCCCCTCCTCCGCAAGGTACTTTGATTTGACTATTTCTAACCAAAGGCCACCCTAACCAACAAGAAATTTCCACGCCCATTTCGCGATTAATGCGTGTATTATTTTTCCATACACAAACTATAACATACCACAAAAGATACGATGTGATGTGATTTCTTTAAGACTTGGTGAACATATTTTGTGTGATTATCTATTTTCCCTATGGTCAAATCCTGGCTCCGCCCCTGTCTCTCCCCTGCCCTCCTAATGTTTGTGGGCGCATCCGGTCGGTGTCTAAGGAAAATTTCAACAGGCCAACCCAAACGGACACCAAATGTGCTCGTTTTTTGTCCGTTTGGTTGGCCAGGCGAACACCAAAAGTCTGCCCGTCTTCGATGTCCCACCAGCGCGCCCAACGAGTCAGCCGCATTTTTTCCTTTTTTGAATTAAATATATACATATATATATATATATATATATATATATATATATATATATATATATATATATTGCCACCAAAAGTCTATCCATTACATTAATCACTACTAGAAAACAGGCTATAGATGATATAGACACTAATGGCGCATTATACATGCGGTGCGCCAATACTATATAGTAATGGCGCACCTATACATAGTGCGCCATTAGTATCTAAAATAGTAATGACGCACCTAGTAAAAAGTGCGCCATTACTATGTTTGACCAAGCTTTGGCCCACTTCTGAGCATAGTAATGGCGCACTTTTCCCTGATGCGCCATTGCTATTTTTGATACTAATGGCGCACGTTTCCCTGCGGTGCGCCATTGTGGTTTTATAGGTAAGTGCCGCAGCCTGACCGCCCACCATCTCTCTCCTCTCTCTCGCACGGAACCCTGTCCTCTCCTTCCTCACCCCACGCGCGCGCACACACACACACACACACGTCTCTCGGCCTCGCCCCGGCCCCGATCCATGCCGCCTCCCAGTGCTCCCTCCTCTTACTGCGCGACGGCCCTTGCCCTCCTCTCTCTTTGGTCCCCTTCGCGCCTCCTCGCGGCAGTCGCAGCCAAGGAGCCCGAGCTCGGCGGCGACGGATCGGAAGGCAGCGTCGGCGCTGGATCTGGGAGTGGTGGAGCCGCCACCGTCTCCACTCGCCGGGAACTGGCCAGATCCGCCCCACGAGCTTCACAGGTGGCACCCCCTCCACCACCAGCCATGGTGGCCTCCCCTGCCCCGTATCGGCGTGGATACAGCCGCCATCTCCCGCAGCAACAGCGGCCTCGCCCTGCTCCGCCCCCGCTCCTCCTCCTCCGCCTCCGCGCCTTCGCCTCGCTCCCCATCCTGGCCGCCGCGAGAGGCGGCCTCGACCCGTCTCCCTCAGGTTCTCTCCGCTCTCACACCCTCCGTGTCCGTCCTCTGGATTCCGTTTCCCAGGGCCTTGCGCGCAGCGACGCACGCCGCGCTTGCTGGACCGGCGACCGATATCGTACATGTGGCTAGCTCGATAGGACGCGGATCCGTTAGTTGGCTTGAATTCGTGGATTATGCCGCTGTTATTCACGGACTGGGACTGGTGTTAAGACAGACTGTCAGTGCACTGGCAGTGGCAGTGATGAACAGCAAGAGCTCTCCGGATGCATGATTTGGAGTGACTCCTACACTAATTCGTAAACCTAGATTCCTGAAATGGCACATATCTTCTCTCTGTCTGTCACCAAACTTGCTCTATCAGTCAAGACTATGCATCCATTTGCCACTTGCTGGCCACATGTTAATTCAGCTCCCGCAATTAATGTTACCAAATGAATATCTTCTCTGTTTCCCCAAACTCACTTTATCAGTCACGGCCGCATATCGATCTGCCACTTTCCTGCCATAGATTAATTCAGCTCCTTGAAAAAATAAGAATAGGAAAAAAAATCAGCATCGATTTGGTCGTCTATTCATTCTTCATAAACTTCACATGCAATTTCTAGCATATGGTGTTCACCCAAGTAATAATCTGCTATTGTTAACCAGGTATCATCGATGAAAAACATGGGTCGTATTCGCGTACTCTTCTTCAGGATAAGCCTGAGATCACGTATGCTTCGTAATCAGAGCTTTCACTTTCTATTCATGTTCTTCTTGCGAGGGAATATTTGTTGAAACATGCCCCGCAATGGTTTTTCCAACAAATTTAGGGAAGAAATGATTCGTGGGTATATGAGCAATTCTGAACTTGAGACTATTATACAAGACTTTGGGTGGCGCTGTGCTAATGTCTCCAGGATATACAGGTATATGATGTAATACTTTGCTCCCTGTCAATGAGTACGCTCAGAGTTTGTCGAGCATTTTTTGGGATCGTCAATTTGTTTAGCCATGTCATATAGATATTGTTATGATTGGTTAATATCCAACTGTGGTAGGTAGACGATAGAAATAAAATGCATTACTGGTCTAAATGGGGTTCAGTAGTTCACAGTTACACTCATTGAGAGGTAATATAACTTAATATCAGTTTAATGTGTATGACTGTAACTTGCGGCGGAGGAGCAGAGGCGGCAGCCCGCGCGCAGGGCGGCTGCTCCGGCCAGCCCCTTCGACTTCTCCACCATGATGAACTTGCTGAATGTAACCAAGAGCTTATACTGAATTCTCTGAATGAAGCATTTATAGTTTCATACTCTGTTTTGTTCTGTTCATTTCCAAACGCGAGTTCTTGGAGGATTTTACATATACTACATGTTTGAATCGGTTGTTAATTTGGTTGGGTTTCACTAAAGATATTCGCGTCCATTTTAACATATTCGAACTTGCTCAATGTAACCAAGCTCTACTAAAGCATTTTACAGTTTCTGCAAAACTAGAAATACTCTGCTCTGTTCTCTCCATTGTCAAAGTTGAGTTCTTGGGAAGATTTATTTATACAAGCTCGAATTTCC